GGAAAAAGGAGGGGGAGCTTAAATCTTGGCCCTGAAAACGACCCTCACGAAGATGGAACACGTATGTGCAAAACTCCGTGGGGTAGCTGGAGGGCCTGTGGGTGGGTTGAAAAAGGGAATAACTCCCGGCCAGCGCCTGCCGTCGAACTCAGTAGCCCTGAAGAATCTCGGGTTCATGATTCACTGATCAGTAGCGGAGTAGGGTTATGGTTTGAAAATTCTTATTGATCAAATGTATATTTGATAATTTATTCACCCTTAATTTAATTAATTGTGGATAAATGTAGGTTGACTTTGATAAATTGTCTTTATAGATCCCTGATCTTTCTTCTAAACTGTTACTTATATTAAGTTTGAATATGTTTTCTAGGAAAGTGTCTGTCTCACTGTCTGTCATTATTTGTTTGTTTAAAGATTATATTTTTTATATTATAACTGCTTGATGCTTACTAAAAAGAAAACAATAATTATAATAGATACCATTTGAGTAATTAAGTAGACATTGTAACATTGGAAAAGTGCACATCATTCCTTCATTTAGCTAAAATGATGTTTTATTTTATTTTTCAAAATATATATTTATCAAATAAACAAGATTTTGCCACCATTCCGTATTCTCAAACTTAACCTTGCTCGCTCTCTGTATTCTTCTACTTGCGTCCATCCTGCTCAAACATGATGGAACGCCTTGCGCTTGTAAGAGCAGCCCGGACGGCGGCCACGCTTTGTTTCCTTCCCGCGGTTAGTGCAATGCGGCTTGGCGTGGCTTCCCGGAACGCCGGCAGCGCCGAAGTGGCGGTACGACTCCCGGCCCGTTTTCCGTCCGCGCAGGAGAAACGTATTCTTCCCCGTGGGTGCGATCATGGCCAGTTGATCAAAGGTCAAACACTCCCCGCCGGCTGCCGTGATGCTCTGCCGGGCGTTCTTCGAGAAGCGCAGCGCGCATACGCGGAGGGCCGGGATGCGCGCCATGCGGACATCGTCGAGAATATCACCAACAACAACCGCAATCGGGGCCTTCTTGCTCTTCTCGAGAAAATTGCATTTCCGCTTCATAACGACGGCAATGCGGCTCACCGAGACCGGCGCGCGGTTGCTCCGGCTTTTCAAAAGGCGCTGGTAGACGAGTTTGTTAAACCCGGAGTTCGTGCGCTTGGCTAAGAACTTGTAGAGCTTAAGGAGAAGCTTAATGTAAGGGTTGTTCGAGTAGGTGTGATTGCGGATCACCCGCTTCTTTTTGGAGACACCGGTCAAATCCACACCCATGATGCACTACCTTCTCGTTGGGGGATGTTGCGGTTTCGTTTTAAAGCTTCGCTGTTCTTTTCCTCTTCACGGCAGGCAAACCTTTTAATATAAAAACATATATACAATAATATGTAATATGAAAAGGAAGGGAGGATGGAGGGGATATTCAATAGGGAAAAAAAATAAAGATCATGTAATGAGAAACCGGGGGAGTGATAACGCAAATGACACCCTAACTGCGCTTCACTTGACCCCCATCAGCGTGTGGATGAAACAAAAACTTTAGCCATATGTCTTTCCTTGCAATACTATTCCTGGTTAAAATCCACCTTTTTCAGATAGTCTACATATCACCAGTTAAGGGGTACTCTACCTACACCTCACATCACACAAATAAAGCATGTTGAAACGTTCAATAGCGGTCCATTTTATTAAAATCTCAACTCTATTATGCATATTTTTACAGCTTCAGGTCGGTGTAGGTCTCCATGAAACAGATGTAGGGACATATATGGTAGATAGGAGGAGTGAATTTGTTTTCACTCAATAATAACTAAAACACAAATAAATAATAGGAATAATATTATTGGTTTATCTTCCGCAGTTCTATAAAGTGGATATGATTCAACCCCTCTTCATTACCAAGGAACCCTCTCCCCCCTCCATGCAAAAGGTAGAAACGGGGAGAAAGATGGAATTACATAATACCAAATGAAGTAGATCTTAGAAAGGGCGATACTTAACACCACCCAACCCCTGCAGCTGACCTTTTAGACCATACGGGTTTGCCCAATCGCTATTACCGTACGAGATATCCTCGTCCTCGATCAACTTCTTGTTCTCCTCCTGCTTGCGGTGGTAAAAAGCGACTAGCTCGGCCTGGGTTCGTGCGTCTACGGCCGGCTCACGCGGCGGCGCGGGGGCTCCGACGGGCGCGAGCTTCACTGTGATCTTTGTCTTGTCATTTTTGCCGATATATCGGAAAAAATCGGCATCGCGAGCGAGCGGCCGCGCACTCCACCACATCACCACCTCCCCCTCCAAACTCGCCTCGTTCGTCGCGCCGTCGTCGAGCAGGCTTAAAAGGCGATGGACCTTC